CCCTAAACCCTAAACCCTCAACCCTAAACCCTAAACCCAATGACCTACAGTTTTATGTGTCAGACCTCTGAATTAAGGGGTAATTACTACTAAACTGTAGGTATTTGGGGGTTACAGGTGAATCCTACACCCAGCAGCTTTTGTAGCCCAGGTGGTGCCCCCGACCCCTTGTCTTTTGGGCTCTGGGTTTCCCTGTAAAGTAACCAACCCGCCCCAAAAAGGTGCCCTTACCAGAACACGGGGGTTTACGAAAATAGGGGGACCCCCCAACTTAGGTCCTCAAAATCGTAGGATTCCCTTGTAATCAGGGCCCCAATAAGATACCCCTAATGTCGAAAACCCCCATATGGTTACTGGCTACCTAAACCCTAAGCCCTAAACCCTAAACCCTAAACCCTAAACCCTAAACCCTAAACCCTAAACCCTAAACCCTAAACCCAAAACCCTAAACCCTAAACCCTAAACCCTAAACCCTAAACCCTAAACCCTAAACCCTAAACCCTAAACCCTAAACCCTAAACCCTAGACAGGAACTACTTCTATCCTCTGCACCTCGAGCCCGTCAACTTCTACGGGGATGATGCCGGCGTTTACGACGTGGAGCTGCCGAACGCGGAGCACTTGGCTCAGGCCCCTCTGCGGTGCCGCTGGGGTTTAGGGTTTAGGGTTTAGGGTTTAGGGTTCAGGGTTCAGGGTTTAGGGTTTAGCGTTTAGTGTGTTTGGGGTCTAGAAGTGAAAGCCCTAAGCCCTACACCCTGCGAATAAGGTGCTTTTGTCTCTGTCGTCAAAGGTGCGCTGCATCCACAAAGCCTTGAAGCCCTACTCTGCTTTCGGCTCTTCTCCCAAGCCCACACTTAGAAGCTCCTGTGACTTGGCAAGTCCACTTAGTATCCCCTAGACATTCTATTAACATCCCCATAGCCCATCTTCCTGACCCTACTTACTACGTCAAAAAGGCCTTCATGAGCAGAGGTCCGCAATGTTAGATTCCGCCTGTGTCTCAACAGCCTCAGTACTTTGCTTGGGGCTTTCAGGGGTGCAGGATGCATCGTTCCGGCCGTTTTGGCCGTTTGGGGAAAACCGAGGCTTTAGCCCCAAACCTGGAAACCCTAAACTTGGGGTAGAAGTGTATGCCCTGTAAGCCCTGCAAGCCCTGCAAGCCGTGTTGTAAACCTAACAAACCTAAAAACCCTACAAACTGGTAAATTGAGTCTATGAATCCTTACAAGCCTTAAGCAAGCCCTACAACGCCCCGTAAAGCCCATGTATACCTAAAAAACCTAAGAAATAAAACGCTGTAAGTTGAGTCTCTGAATTCTTAAATAAGCCCTAAGCAAGCCCTACAAACGCCCCGCGTAAGCCCAGTCCTCAAGTGCCAGGTGGGCTTCTACTTGCCGACGCACTCCTTCCTGGAGCGGGCGGACACGCAGTTCATCTGAGCCACGGCTGAGGAAGAAGAAGAAGGAGAAGGAGAAGAAGAAGAAGAAGAAGAAGAAGAAGAAGAAGAAGAAGAAGAAGAAGAAGAAGAAGAAGAAGAAGACGAAGAAGAAGAAGAAGAAGAAGAATAAGAAGAAGAAGAAGAAGAAGAAGAAGAAGAAGAAGAAGAATAAGAAGCGCAAGACTCGCACGACGAGGGTTGTTGGTCTCAGGGATTAAGGGCTCTTGTGGTAAATGCTTTGCGGTTTAGGTTTTGGTTGGGGTTTAGGGTTTTGGAAGCGAGGGAGGTACATGTCTCAAGCCTAAGTAGTTGTAGGTATGTGACGTTTAAGCCTTGGCGGGTTCTACCATAAACCCTTGAGCACAAAAGCCCCTAAGGCCTAGACATTTAAGCCTTAGGGCTAAGCCAAGCTCTTCTTGTTGTACCTAATTGTATGGACTTTGTCCTGCATGGCTCAGACAAGCCGTGTCGAACTTCGGCCCGCCAATGGCTTCCCAGGCTCCTTCCTTCAAGCCCCCCCTTAACCTTAAGGCCCCCCCCCCCCCCCCCCCCTAATTCCAAGGCCCTTAAGCCCCGCCCAGGCTCCGTCATCAAGTCCTACTACCAGCCAGAGGCAGCGGTGGATGAGCCTCCTCGCCAGAAGGGGTGGGCCGACGCGGAGAGAACCAAGAGCTTGCAGCAATCCAGCCCAGCCAGCTGAGCAGAAAGAGCCTTGCGTCTTAGGGTTTAGGGTTTAGGGCTTAGGGTTTAGGGTTTAGGGTTTAGGGTTTAGGGTTTAGGGTTTAGGGTTTAGGGTGTAGGGATCCACTACTACCCAATTTGCAGCTGGTTCAGGGCAAGTGCACGCAATTCACAGGGAACCGTTGGAGGGGTGGGGGTGGATTCGAGCGGGCTGGTCGGTTGGAAGTAGGTGGGAGAGGTTGTTGTGAGCTTCTGTGTGATAGAGAGGGCTTCCCTCGATTTGTATATACAAGTATCAAATACATACAATTCTCTCTCGCTCTATTATTTCACGAAAGTGGTATATGTACTAATTATAGTATGATGTGATTGTATTATCTGATCTTATATAATATTGTCGCGTGTGTATATATATATATAGATACGTTATATTACATTGCATTATATGAACATGATATTATAGTATCTTATCTAGAATACTTTAATTCATTAGATTCCGCTACAGTATATATCGTCTGCGGCTAAACGATCGTCCGTAAACTCACGCCCTCAAGCAGTTGCCCGTGGACCCGCTGCAGTCGACCACAAGACCGAACCTTTGGAGGTTAGGGTTTAGGGTTTAGGGTTTGGGGTTTGGGGTTTAGGGTTTGGGTTTAGGGTTTAGGGTTTAGGGTTTAGGGTTCCCTGGGGTTGTGGGCCGTTTCAATGGCATATTCTTTGTAGCCCAAACATGTTCAGGGGTAGGGTTTGGGGTGTAGGGATGTTTAGGGGTTTTGGGGTTTTTGGGATGTTGAGAGTTTAGGTCTCAGGGTCCGAGATCCGGGGATCTCTGATAGTTCGGACCCTGGTCTTCCAACCTTGTGTGACTTCCCACTTCCCTAAACCTTAAACCCTAAACCCTAAACCCCAAACCCTAAACCCTAAATCCTAAACCCTGAAGCCCCACCCCGAAACGCAACCAGCCCGAAACCCTACTTGAGGCCCTACACCCAGACTTGAACCCCAGACCCCTAAACCCTAAACCCCAAACCCTAAACCCTAAACCCTAAACCCCAAACCCTAAACCCTAAACCCTAAACCCTAAACCCTGAACCCGCCGACGGGAGGCCGCGGCCCTGTGCTCCGCGATGTCCATGCGCCTGGAGAAGCAGGTGTCAAGTTTAGGGTTTAAGGGTTTAGGGTTTAGGGTTTAAGGGTTAAGGGTTAAGGGTTTAGGGTTTAGGGTTAGGGTTTAGGGCTAGGGTTTAGGGTTAAGGGTTTGGGGTTTGGGGTTTAGGGCTTTCAGGCTTTCAGAACCTCAGGCTTCGAGTTTCGGGGTCAGGGTTTAAAGTTCACCAGGGCTTTCGGGGTTTCAGGTTTTTTGTTTTCTTTTCCGGGCACCTGGGTTTAGGGTTTAGGGTTGAGCGGCCCGCCTCCCTTCTCCCTCAGAAATGAGACTTGGGTTTGTTCGAAAAGCCCCTAGCCCTAAACCCTAAATTTAAGAGCCTCCGGCTCAAGCCGCCGACCCCGCTGGAGCATAGTTGAGAGGTCGAAACCCGCTCGCATGGTTCGAAGATCATCCCAGTCTGCTCGGCAGAGTTCTGTGAAACGTTTGGGGGGGGGGGGGTAGGGGTAGCACCAGGACAAGCTCAAGAAGAGGTGGGTGGGAGGGGGTGGGGGGGGTGGGGGGGTGGGGGGGGGTGGGGGGGGGGGGTGGGGGGGGGGGGTGGGGGGGGTGGGGGAGGGGTGGCCGAAAACGCTGATTTTGCTGAGGGGGAAAGAGGGAGGTTTTCACCTCCTCAAACCCATCCAACACGCCGCCAGGGTCGGCGGACCTAAACCCTAAACCTTGAACCCTAAACCCTAAATCCTAAACCCTAAACCCTAAACCCTAAACCCTAACCCTAAATCCTAAACCCTAAACCCCCATAGCACCTTTCTTATCAGGCTGCGAGATCAACAGATCATGAAGCAACACCAGTGTTACTTGTGCAATGCTACATTTGAGACGCCACAAGCTGTTGCAGTGCACTTGTCAAAGGTGCACCGTCAACAGGCTCCAGCGACGAAGGTGAGATTCGGTACATCTTGTGAAGTATGCAGACGTCAGTATTGGAGCAGCAAGAGATGACCACGAGCACCTTCGCCACCAGACAACATGTCGGGCCATGTACGAGCAGGCAGACATTGATCCGGCCGTCGAGGCATCCAGCTGCACCAAGAACCTGCCACCCACAAAGCTCATTGGGCCCCAGCCCTTCTGGGCGACCATGCAGCCAGAAGCTAGTAAAGCTGTCATATCTGGAGGCACGGAGACGAGTACTTCCACAGCCCATGGGACGCCACAACGCTGTTTCTTCAATCTGGAAGATGGAACGGCGTTGCAAGGATTTTTCACTGCTTGGGCTGGGTCGGTTGAGGAAAGTTGTGAGTGGCTTCATAGTTTGTTCAGACAGGGACACCTTGATGCTTGCAAGAAGGTACAGCACCTTGCTTGCCGCCTTAATTAGGGTTGATAGCGTTAAGCCAACCACACGACAGTTGGCAATTACTCTCCTTTGAGCATAAGCATGTCAGAGGGATACGTACAGGACAGCATTAATTTGAGGATGGAGCCAGATGGCTACAGGCTATCGACGTGCTCTAATCTAGCAAGCTGAATTGATGGCGCGCCGGCGCGGACACTAGCGACAGCGGTAGCAACCCTAAACCCTCAACCCTAAACCCTAAACCCTACACCCTACACCCCAAACGTCCCTGGTACTTGGACAGAGACTTGCCGCAGGAGATGTCCGTTCCAATGGTGAGATGCTGAAGCATCCTGTGCTCAAGAGCAACCCCGGCCAACTCGTAAGCCCGATCGAGCGGTTTCGGGTGTAGGTTAGGGTTTAGGGTTTAGGATTTAGGGTTTAGGGTTTAAGGTTTAGGGTTTAGGGTTTAGGATTTAGGGTTTAGGGTTTAGGGGTTTAGGGGTTTAGGGGTTTAGGGTTTAGGGGCCAGACTAAACCCTAAGCCCTGAACCCACAACCCTTTCATTTTTCTCCCCGGAGGTGGACCTGAATAGCACGCTGCATCAGCGTCTTCGAGCCAGCGAGGCCATGCAGCCCGGGGTTAAGGGTTTAGGGTTCAGGGTTTAGGGTTTAGGGTTCAGGGTTCAGGGTTTAGGGTTCAGGGTTCAGGGTTTAGGGTTTAGGAGCCAAAGGTTTGGGGTTTAGGGCTTAGGACGGGGGCAGGGTTAAGGGTTTCAGGCTGTTTCAGGCTTCGGCGTTCTGTGTCAGGTTCTTCTTTGAGGGTTCCAGAGGTTTCCCAGAACCCCAAGCGAGTCCCAGGCCGAAGCACAAGACCTCCGGAGCGAGTTGGAGGCCGTTCTTGCCCTAAACCCTAAACCCTGAAGCCCTGAAGCCCTAATCCCTAAACCCCAAACCCTAAACAACCCTAAACCCTAAAGCCTAAACCCTTAAGCCTAAACCCTGTGCCCCTAGCCCTAAACCCTAAACTCTGAATCCTAGACCTTGTCCGGGCTTCTTTGTGCGCTGTTTTGTGCGTTTTTGGGTTAGGGCTTCCGGGTCTCAGGTCTGCGGCTGCAGTTTTAGCGTTTAGGGATTGAGGGTTGAGGGGGGAAGGGGGTTTTGGGGTTTTCCATGGGCTTTGCGTGACTGAGCCGAAGCTTCGGGGAGGAGTAAACCCAACTGAGGCAAGCACCAAAGGCCAAAGATCTTAGAATCAGAAAGCCCTCCAAGCCCCAAACAGCAAGCCCAAACCCTAGATCCTTTGCTAAGTGAGGCAGCCCTCAACCCTAAACCCTAAACTTTAAACCCTCAACCCTAAACCCTAAACCCTAAACCCGAAACGCAAAAGTTGCTAGCAGCAGGAGCTCCGGCGGGGGGAGGAGTTGCGGGCAGAGGCCTTGGCGTCCAAAGAGGCGGGCTTGCTTCTTCTCCGGATGCAGGATGTACGGTCCCAAGGTTTCGTAGGGTTTAGGGGTTTAGGGTCTAGGGTTTGGGGTTGTAGGGTTTAGGGGTTTAGGGGTTTAGGGGTTTAGGGGTTTAGGGGTCTAGGGGTCTAGGGTTTGGGGTTTGGGGTTCAGAGCTCAGGGTGTTGAAGAGGTTTAGGACCCCAATAGCCTTCAGCAATCTATCCTTCAAGTCGCATGAGGAACAAAACCCAAGGGACCTGGGAGCCTCTGAGGTTTAGGGTTTAGGGTTTCGGGGTTCAGGGTTCAGAGTTTAGGGTTGGATCTGATGTAGAGTTGTGGGGATATGGGCGGCCTAGGGTTTCAGGACCTTAAAGGGGGATCTTCAGGACCGGCTATGCATGTGAATATGCACCGATGCACGTTGCGATGCCACCCAGCAGTCGCAGAGCCCGAAGCCCTAAACTCACGGGGCCCAAAACCCTGAAACCTCAAGGCCAGGATACATAGAAATTGTATGTGATTTGCTCAGAACTTGCAATTTCGATGGGCTACAAGAATCCTTCCAAGAGCAATGCTTCCAAAGACAGGCCTTCAAGGCCCCAAATGTTCTCCAACGCCCCAACTTTTCGAGGCAAATCCTACCTCCTCCCCCGCCCCAACTTTTCGAGGCAAATCCTACCTCTCCACCCCCCTTTCTTTCCCCCCCCCCCCCCCCCCCCCCAAAAAAAAAAACAAAACAATAAAAGCAAGACTCTAAACCCTAAACCCTAAACCCTAAACCCTAAACCCTAAACCCTAAACCCTAAACACTAAAACCCCTAAACCCCTAAACCCCTAAACCCTAAACCCTAAACCCCTAAGCCCCTAAACCCCTAAACCCCTAAACCCCTAAACCCCTAAACCCTAAACCCTAAACCCCTAAACACCCAAACCCTAAACCCTAAACCCTAAACCCTAAACCCTACACCCTAAACCCTAAACCCTAAACCCTAAACCCTAAACCCTAAACCCCAAACCCCCCCAAAGCTCCCAACGCCCCCCAGAATTCAGAGGCGGCCGTGCGGTCCTGGGAGGCGGGGCGACTCAAGGAGCGGTAGGGTTTAGGGTTTAGGGTTTAGGGTTTA